TTAAAAATTGAATATGTTAGGGTACTCAGTCTTCTTAAGTGGCTTAGGGTTGTTACCAGAGGAGGGTGACATTTGTGAAGGGGGAACAGGTGTTGTCCTTTCTCTTTCTGTTTTACTAATACACACCAACACATACACACACACACACACACACACACACACACACACACCACAAACTGTTTCATCATGTGTGGTTTGACATGCTTTGACACAGTAAGGCTGCATAAACACACACACACACACACACACACACACACACACACACATACACACACACCACATAACTGTTTCATCATGTGTAATTTGACATTCTTTGACACAGTAAGGGTGGCTCAAGCAAATGTAGTCATTTGAGCATGACTATTACTGTGACAAATTCATTTTCTTCAAAAGTCTTTAGTGCTGTAGCAGAAAACACTGTAAGATAATGTTTTCTAAACACAATAATCTCAGTGAATAGCGACATACATGATATTGTGAAGGTATAGCTAGATAATAGATCAATGAAAGACCTGTCTTGCTCAGAGGTTAATAGAATTAATGCTGTACAAATAATCATCTTACCAAAAATAATCCACACACTCAGCATAACTCCAAACATATTCCCATTGCATTCTTCTCAGAAATAGAAAAAAAAAAACACTTGAGTTCATAAGGATTACAGAAACTCCCAGATAGCCAAAGCAATGCTGAACATAAAGCACAATGTTGGAGGATCACCAGATTTCAAGTTATGTTACAGATTTATAATAATATAAACAGTATGCTACTAGTACAGAAAACAGATATATAGATCAATGAAAGAAAACAGAAGACCCAAACATGAGTACATATAACCATAGCCATCTTGTATTTGACAAACATACCAAAAATACACACTGGAAAAAAAAAGTAGCATCTTCAACAGGTGGTAGTGGGAAAACTGGATGGCCATATGAAGAAGGATGAAATTCAACCATATGTATCACTCTGCACAGAAATCAATATCAGATGGAGCAAAGAACCCCAAATAAGCTCAAAATGATGAAAATGCTGGAAAAATACATAGGCAGTATCTTATGATGATAAGACAGGTGAACATAGGCATAAGAAAGGACTTTTTGAATAGGATTCCATTCTGTCAGCAATGAAGGTCAACACTGACAAATAGGACTTGTGGAACTACAAGGTTTCTGCAATATAAAGGATACCACTGAGTGAAAGAAAGTTCACAGAATGGGAGAATCTTTGCCTGTTCTAAATCTAATAGAGAAAAAATATCCAGAATTAGTTAAAGAACTAAAAAAATAAAAATAATCAAGAAATCAAATGACCCAATTAAAAATGTGATATGAATCTGAACAAAAGAGTTCTCAAGATAAGAAAAATGGCTAAGAAATACTTCTAAAAGTGGTCAATATCCCTACCAACTAGGGAAACATATGTTTAAAAAGCTTATCACAGCCAAAATGGCTAATGTTAAGAAAACAACTGGCAAATAAAGTTGGTAAGGATGCAGGGTAAAGAGAACTCACGTTCACTATTTGTAGGACTGTAACTGGTCCAGTCATCATGGAAACAAGTCTGGAGAATTATAAAAAGAATGAAAGTAGATCTAATGTATGAACAATCTATAGAACTCCTTGTTTTAAGTCTAGTGGACTTCATGTCCTACTCTACAGACACTGAGCCATATTCATTGCTGTCCTATTCACAACAACTAAGAAATGGAAACAACCCTAATGTCTGTCAACTCATGAAGGGAGGGAGAAAATGTAGTACATATGCACTATGAAATATTATCCAGCTGTAAAGAGTAATGCAATTTACAGGTGAATGGGTGGAACTAGAACATACAATATTGAGTGTGGTCACCCAGACCCAGGAAAACAAATGTCACATATTCTTTCATATTTGTGAATCTTTAGATGTGAATATACAAGCTGGAATAACCATAGAAACAAGAACTTAGTAAAAAGGGACATGGCAGGGGGGTGTTTCAGAGTAGACCGAGAAAGAGGGAATAATAGGATACAGGTGTTATGAAGAGGAAAAGGGAGGAATTTTCTGGGGTGGAGGAAGGGATAGCTATACTGAGTAGGAGGGAGGGACATACTGAGGTAGAGAGATGGAAAAGTGATGAAGAACACTAAGGATGGCTGCAAAAGTTATTATTACATGTTTGAAATACAAATACAACATATAAGAGTATGTGAATTAAGTGTACACAAACAATTTAAATGATGTTATAGAGTGTAGCGCTATGGGTAATAATGCTCACCCTCAAGAGCCATTGACTATCTAACAATAACTCCAAAGCTAGCCAAGAGAAATAACCTTTTGAGTTCTTGATTAGGGATATACAACAGAATCCTGAAATTATATTGGTTATTTGTGTGTTCCTTTGTTGCCTCCCATGACTTGGAAGTAAGACCCTATTGCTGAAGAAATCACACACCTTGGACACATGACTTGGAGAATTTGAACTTGAAATTATTTGGAATCCTTCTCCGTGAGGACTGGCTTTCATGGTATCAGAAGTGCTATACAAGCTTCCAAGGGAGCAGAGAAATGAAAAATTCCTACCAACAACAAAGCTTATAAATCACACCAATTACAAGCATGACAAGATACATGCAAAGGTGCAGTAGTACTAGGCACTTATAACTTGAGGACCACATCTACCTAATTAAACTGAAGACTGTCTCAATAAGGCGGAAATCATGCCTGGAGCTGTAAATACAGCCATGACCTGTGAGGACATGGAACTTAGAGGAGAACTGAATGTCACTAACTCAGTGTCTTGGTCGGATTTTCTATTGCTGTGAAGTGATACCATGACTACGGCAACTCTCATTAGGAAAAAAAAAATGCTTCACGGGGCTTGTTTATGGTTTCATAGCTTCAGTCTATTATTGTTATGGCAGGGAGCATGGTGGCATGCAGCTAGACATAGTGCTGGAGGAGTAGCTGAGGGTCCTACATCTTGCAGGCAACAGGAATAGGACTGTGACACTGGGCAATATCTTGAGCATAGGTAACCTCAAAGCCCAACACCACAGTGACACCCTTCCTCCAACAAGGCCACAACTACTCCAAGGACAAGTGCTCTGATAGGTTATCTAATCCTAAATGGTTAGCCCTAAAACTATGCATATATGAACAATACTAAATGTCTCAGCAATTGTGTGTTGAAATAGTTAATAAGAGGTGGTCATGAAGTTGAGAAGGAATGAGTGGAGACATGGAATTAGTAGGAAGAAGGAGAGGGAAGGGTGGAAATGAAATAACTACAGTGATCATGTATAAAATACTCAGAAATAATAAAATAAATTTGTTGGTGCATGCCTTTAATCCCAGCACTCGGAAGGCAGAAGGTAGAGGCAGGCATATCTCTGTGAGTTCGAGACCATCCTGGTCTACAAGAACTAGTTCCAGGACAGCCTCCAAAGCCACAGAGAAACCCTGTCTCAAAAAAATAAAAAATAAAAATAAAAATGGGTACTCGAGATTGAGATTTCTTGGTTTAAAATTCTACCTGTATTCCTCACCATTGATTCTGGAGAGGCTAATTGTTCCAGCTGTGCTCTTTTGCATATCAGAAATACCGAGAGAGAAATATAAAACTTGGTAGTTTTCAAAGTAGAAATGATCTCCAGAAATATCAAAAAAAAAAAACAACTTTGAAAGGTCATGAAAAGAGTTATGATCAGGAGAAATCCTAAGGGGAATTTAAATTTTAATATTTCTCAAAACATCACTAACATTTAAAAATATACATAATTTTTATTAATGAAATTTACATCCAGACCATGGTTTCCCCTCCCTGCTCTCCTCCTATTCCTTCCCTCTACTTCATCTCTACCTTCCCTTCCAGTCTTCCTCCATTTCTGTTCAGAAAGGGGCAGGTCTCTCATGGATCTCAACAAGATATGTACAAAAATTGTCAATTTTTCTTATCCACAATTTTATTTTAAAAATCTATATTTTAATAAAGAGTGTGACCACTAATTTTTTATATCATCTTGAAACACCTGTGAAGAAGGACCCTCAAATCAGAAATTGTCTCCATCGGATTGGCCTTTAAACTTGTCAGTGAGATATTTTATTGATTGTTGGTTGCTATAGGTGGGCCCAGGCCACTGTAGGCATTACCATTTTAGGGCAGGTATAAGCAAGGTGACACAAGCATGGAAATGATCCTGGAGCAACATTCATCTATGCTTTCTGTTGTAATTTTAGAAAAACACCACTCCAGAGAAAGGCACCATGTGACAGGGTCCAAGCAGAGGGTTTATTTGTTTATTTATTTTTAAAATCAAAACAAGCTTGTTTTACCTGTCCATCCCAGTTCCCTCTCCCTGCCCTCCTCCCCTTCCCCACCCACCAACACCCTATCCCATCCCATTTCTGCTCCCTAGGGAGGTTGAGACCTTTCATGGGGGAATCTTCAAAGTCTGTCATAGTTGGAGCACAGCCTGGACACTCCCCAGTGTGTCTAGGCTGAGAGAGTATCCCTCTACGTGGATCAGGCTCCCAAAGTCCATTCCTGTACTAGGGATAAATACTGATCCACCTACCAGAGGCCCCATAGATTAATTCTTGCATTGACTTTCTTCAATAATAGGGTATTTCCTATAGTCCAAACAAACTCTTCCTACCCCAAGCTGTGTTTTGTTACAACACAGAAGCAAACTACATTAGTAGTCAAGATTTTTGAATAAAATAACCCAAACAGTAGTTGATTTTTTGACATGCATATAAATTTAGATATATTCCAAGGTCTAATGACTTAGAATACATTTCAAATATGCATTAAATCATATATTACTGATTATGCTTGAATGTGTTAATGAAAATAATCATGACTCCAAAATTGTCTGCAAAAGCACAATAAAAGTCCATATTAGGCAGGATTATGATTATTAGTATATATTGTGAATATATAGCTTTTACTAGTATACTCTGTTTTAACTTTCCATTCAACAGATATATATTTAGGATTCAAAATAACAGAAGTAATCCCTTCTCGACCTTTTGTCTAAGATCAAGTGTACTATCTGTTTTTATCAGTTTCATACCTGATATGTCCTCTCTCCAAGGACAATATATTAAATGGATTCCTGGAAGTAGGACTTGGAATAGGAGCTAGCTCTGTCCGCTCCATGAATTGACCTGGTATTGCAGCACCTCCAGGAACAGTGCACCAAAATAAACAATTAAACAAACAAACAAACAAGAAAAAAAACCAAACAGAAGCAGATGAAATTGAAGACTCACTACAATGGAAGAAAAGACATAGGTTACCCTACAGCATTGTCTTTACAAAGTTGCTTAAGCTTTACAATATATCATGCAGAGAAATTATGTTCTTCTCAGGCCTAATCATTGATACTTTACACAAGGAAACTGGTCTAAAGATAAAGCTGCTGAGGTGCTCACAAGGATTTAATTGGAATCTTCAATACATGAAATTTACCAACAAAGCTGGTGATGAGAGAATTAGAAAATTAAAGCTTGTGAAATTGGATGCAATTATTTTGAAGTCTGAGATAGTCACCAAGTCTTGTTTTATTTAATATGAAGAGTTTGGAGGGCTAGATCTGTATATGTACAGGAATCATAGTACAAACTTATGAATGATGAATATTCATTCAAGATGGTTCAAAGGGTTGTCCATTAATATAACATGGACTTCTGCATTTGTTATGATTATCAGAACTGGAGAAGAGAAAATTTTTATTAAAATTTGAGATTTGAAAAATTCAACTTCATCACTAGCAGTGTTTATGTGAAGGGAATGAGCTAATTTAGCGAGAGTGTATTAGTATGGGAGAGTGTTATTTTAATGAATATAATGTAGTATTGAATATGCATAAAATATTTGTAAAAGTTGCTGTCTTTTTAGTTACAAATTTTAATGCTTCAAATGTAGGAAATGAAGTTTTAAAGGCATTTTCTTACTTTCAAGAATTCTAGCATTCCTTGTATATATGGAAGAGGGAGGAAGACATTAACACATTTAAAGGCAAAACAATATTTCATGATAAGAAAATCTCATAGTACAAAAGGATAAAAAGGAGACTTATGATAGAGGGAAAATTACTAAAATGATTTCTAGTGATATTCTGCTATACTCATAGATTGGTGCCTGGCCCATTTGTCAAGAGAGAAGAGGGGAATACAAATTGGAGCTTTGGAACTCTTCATTGGGTCCATACCCTTGGAGCTCAGGAACCCCAAGGGAGAAGGGGAGGAAGAATTATAAGACCCAGAGGGGTCTAGAACACCAGGAGAACAGGAACCACAGAATCAACTAAGCAGGGCTCATAGAGAATGAAGCTGCAATCACAAAGCCTGCACGGGTCTGGGCTAGATACTAAGCATATATGTTATTGTTGTTAGCTTGTTGTTTTTGTAGGGTTCCTAACAGTGGGATTGAGGGGGAGGATATCTCTGCCTCTTTCATCTGATCTTGGGACCCTTTTCTTCCTACTGGGTTTCCCCACTCAGACTTGATATGAGGGTTTATGCCTAGTCTTACTGTATCTTATTCTGCTGCATTCAGCTGAAATGCCTGGGAGGCCTGCTCTTTTCTGAAGGGAAAAAGAGAAGGAGTGGATCTGGGCAAGAGGGAAGGGGACTGGAAGAAGTGAAAGGAAGGGAAACGGAGATCAGGATATATTGAAAACAAAATGAAACAAAACAAAACAAAACAAAACAAATAAAATAAAAGTTCCCCTATCTCCAAAAAGGAGTATCTGACCCAGATTCTGGAAGATGAGCAGGTGCTTTCTTTTTATTTTAGAAGTACTATTATTTACATATGAATCCCCCCATTCCCTCACCCTTCTATCATCCCATGCTCCCCCCAACCCCCCAATGTACTCCACTCCCTCCCCAGGGATAGTGAGGTTTCACATCATTTGGGGGAGGGCCCAGGACCTCCTTCCTGTATCTGGGCTAGCAGGTGCTTTTAAAAACAAAGACAAGAGGGAAAGTGTCTTGGTCACATGAATCAGGAAGCATAAAAACATTTATGGAAATGAAACCACTTTTTCCACTAGGCTCTCCACTGGCTTCAAATTAATCCAAATATGCCTTCAGAATGTGCAGAAATCAATTCAGGTCAGTATGAATTTTTCCCTGGAGTTGTCAATTGTGATTTTCAATAGACTTCCCAGTGTCTAAACTGTGTGAAGGCCATCTCACACTAGCTGTGGCCATAGTGTCTGAGATACATCATGTTGCCTCTTACATATGATGGAGAATAAATCAAAACTCATAGATTTTAGAAAGCATCAAATATTTCTGAAAATTAAATCATTAAATAACTCTATGTTATTCAATGTGACTCCATATACACAAATTACCAGATGAAGAAAATTTACTTCTATAGAAAGTACAGTCCTTGTAAGATTAACTTACCTTGGCCCTATACAGAACTGTTGGGACATCAGGTCTGAGATCTAATCCTTAGAAAGCCTTGCCTGCATGAATGATGTTGGCATTACTCACCAGCTTAAACTGTTGTAAATGCTTGTCTAAGCTGTATTCTGAATTATTGCTTCCTTTTATTAGAGTCTGGAATTTTTATGCTTGCAAAGAAGTGTATGTCTCTGTGACAAACCCCACCATGAACCAGGGAGTCTGAGTCTCATGGGTATTTCATGACAGAGGAATTAGGCTAATCTTGTGTGACTCCATTGGGCAAAGACCACTAGAAGCTTGTATGCGCCCTCCACACATCACTATCTGCACCTTTGCTTTTGTTGATATCACTGTGTTTCATTTCAAAATAATGAGTCATTGACACATGACTGCATGCTCAGCTATGATGTACTTCCTTCCCACAAATCTCCAGACCTGAGCATCATCTTGGAACTTCTTTTGTAGAATACAGAATATTTTATCTTAATAGGAGAGTAGTTATTGTGAATGGACTAATTTGCCAACATGAATTAAATGGGGCCAGAGAGATGGCAGTGTGTGTAAAGTGTTATCTGTATTAACATGGCAAAATGCATTTCGAACCTTAGCACTCAAGTGAAAACTCCACTCCAAAGCACATGACTGTACCAAGTGTTGGAGACAGGGTTGGTAGGTGGATCTTGAGCTCTTGGTGGCAATACAGTCTATTTGAAGTGCTGAGTTTCAGGCTTCTTTAGAGTCCTTGTCTCATAAAATGAGGTGGTGAAGTAATAGAGAAAGGCTCTTGACCTCAAACTCCAGCATTGCAGCATGAAAAATGGGTTTAATTAAAAATAATTTAAGATTATGGACTCTAAAGGAGAATCTACTACTACTATTTTCCTAAAACAGGTGTGTAATTTCTAATTTCTGAGACTGAGCTCCACAATTCTGCCTATTGATTGGCTGTAGTTTTCTGAAGTCCTAATGCATACATCTACAAAGCACTCCCACACCTAAGACTCAGGGAACACTGTGCAAGAGGGGATAGGAAGAGTATAAGAGAAAGAGGATCAGAGAGTTTGCTGTGAGATTCTGTCTTCTAGTAGATGCTGAACTGTATCCTCTAAATTCTCACCAACACAACTGTCCAAATGTGAGCTGAACAGGGATGACACCAACAGGCATGCTAAACTGGATGAAGAAATGCCCATGAGGCCTGAACCCTACACAAAGAAATACAGGTAACTGAGTGAATCTGGGAACTGGCTCTCCTCAGGGAAGGGCACATCAGTTGGTTATCCAGTGTCAAATCATCATCCATGAAAACATACGTACAAATAACAGTATATGGTTATATTTAGAAATATCTTTGTATGTACATAAAAAGTTATGTGTGCAATGATAATTAATATAAAAAGAGGTCATGCACTTGAAAGAGAGTATAGAGGGGCACATGGGGATTTGGAGGGAAGGAAAGGAGAAACATACTTAAAATTAAAAAATAATGAAAAATTGTAATTTCTGACTACATTCTAAATATTTATCCTTATACCTACAGAATGTAGCTGCCACTCCTCATTTATGGTGGATGGAGACAACTAAAACAACATACAACTGATCAAAATGCAAAGAAGATCTGATTGTGGGTTATCTAGCCTCAGTTGATGCATCTACAATACAACTCCTACACATAAAGTTTAGCGCATCTCAGAAGGGGGGCAGAAATATTGTAAGAGACAGAAAACTAGGACATCTGCTGTGAGACAGTTTCTTCTGTCCATGACAGGAAATCTGTAACCATAAAATATCAACAATACGGCTTCCAAAATATGACCCACACAGTGGCAACACCACTTGCCATGACTGTGGGTGAGGGAAATTTCACAATGTCTCACTCCTAGATGAAGAACTATAGACAAATAATGACTTCTGAGAAAAGAAACCTTTCCAGAAATAAGGCTTCTGATAGATTATCAGTTCCCAAGTAGTCATCCCTAAACATGCATGTATATGAAAATGCTATTGAAGTCACCTGTTTATTTATACATATGTGTACATGTGTTTGTGTAAAAATAAAAAGTATGCATGTGTGTAAAAATAATAATTGAAGAAGAGGCCATAAACTGGAGAGGAAATAGGAGGCACAAGGGGAGAGGTGGGGGTAGAGAAAATTAGAAATGGTAAAAATACAGTATTCATGTGTGAAAATTTCAAAACATTAGAAATTAACAAATAATTTAAGCTACACAATGAAGCTAGCATGAAAATGTGGACCTTGCCTACGTAAGTTGAGGAATGTAGTTAACATTAATCTTTTAGAAGAGAAGCAAGATAGTTTCCATCTACATTTATACTCAGGTTTAAGGGTATGAATAGGATCTGTTACTGAAGTAACTTTCATCTCATTGGGATGTAAAGTTTACTAGGGTATTTGAAGGCATCCCATTTGGAAAACAGGAAAAGGTCCATTTTGTGTTTGCTTATTTAGAGTTGGTACATCCTCATGTTATCTACTCTGTCAAGGAAATTTCATCCAAGACTAAGGGTAAGTTTGCATTTTACAACATGATTTGACTCCTGTGTTGTCTCTTCTCATAATATCTTGTCTCATAGAATCATAGTGTACACTATTTAGTTCATTATTAGTATAAAACACTGGCGTTTCAGTTTGAAACTCCATCTGGGAAACTCTTGATCACAATTTGCATCTGAGACTTAGAGTAAAATCATTCATCCAATACCTACCTCATTGTCCATTGTGTCTATGGATATTTGAAAGAAAATACAAAAATCAGAGTT